TAGGCATCTAGACGTGGTAAAGACGACTTGCTGAAGTTCAAACTTCAGAATGGGGAAGAAAGGGGATTTAAGTGACTTTGAACGTGGCATGGTTGTTGGTGCCAGACGGGCTGATCTGAGAATTTTATAAAAACGGCTGATCTACTGGGATTTTCATGCACAACCATCTCTAGGGTTTACAGAGACTGGTCCGAAAAATAGAAATTATCCAGTGAGTGGCAGTTGTGTGGATGAAAATGCCTTGTTGGTGTCAGAGGTCAGAGGAGAATGGGCAGACTGGTTGCTGCGACAGTCAGAAGGAAGGGATAGAATTTGGCATAAACAACATGAAATCATGGATCCATCCCGCCTTGTATCCACGGTTCAGGCTGGTGGTGGTGGTGTCATGGCGTGGGGGACGGTTTCTTGGCACTAGCAAGGTGGACCTAATAATGTGGCCAGTGAGTGTGTATTTGGGGGCTCATTCACACATGCAGCTGGGGGACAGTAAAAATAGGAGTTTTTAACACCTCCCCCAGCCACCTTCCTTAAAGAGGAGCTCCAGTCTCCCCCCCAAAAATAAAAGCAGCTACAAATCCTGTAGCTGCTGACTTTTAATATAAGGACACTTACCTGTTCAGGGATCCAGCAATGTCCTCACCTGAGCCGATTCTTCAATCCACTTTGGGTGCAGGGGCCGGCATCTTGGACAAAGGGAACCAGCAGCCTTTTGGCTTCACAGCCAGTTTCCTACTGTGCATGCGTGGGCTGCACTGTGCTGTGTGACTGGTCCAGCAGTCATCTGGGAACTGTGTGTGTCCCAGAAGTGTGCGAGAGGAATGAAAGGGACCAAAAGATCGCATTGGGGATCTTACCTGGAAGTGGGAGCGGGTACCTGTCAAAACCAGAGGTGGGAGCGAGTACCTGTCAAAACCAGAAGCAAAAGCGGGTACCTGTCAAAACCAGCTACCCCCTCCCCCCCCCAAAAAGTGACAAGCATGACAGTGGGGTGGGGAGGAGGCAAACAAGCAGAACTTCCCCTTTTATGAGAAGTTCTGCTTTAAACTGACACAGGGGCCGGAGGGGGTTGTATACATGTTGCAGCACAAATTATTCCCAGGTCGCATCCAGGAGGCCAGTACTGTCCATGAACACTACCCATTGAAGGTAACAGGGCCGTGCCGCAAATGCCCTGCAACTGCATGCAATGAATGGGCCTGTAGTGTGGTGGCAGGGCTGCTGTTAGAAACCACGGGGCCCCATAGAGCCAACCTGGCAGGGCCCTCCCTTCCAATAAAAAAAACAAAGTTTACTATGCTTCAGTTATGATTGAACACAGTGGGTGATTGGTACTGATCACTCATTGTGTTCGTTCGGGAAAGGAAGGGGCTGGAAAATGTGATGTATTTACCGGACCCTTCCCCCACTCTCCATCCCGAAGGATCTTATTGTGAAAGAAGAGGAGGGAAGCACTTCGGGGGTGGGGGCACACAGGGGGGCCTGGGCAGCAGGAGGAAACAAGTGGTTTCATGGAGGGTTAGGGGTGTAGTGGGGGAGAGGCAATTACTGGAACTGATCCCCTGTATGGCTCTCTCTGCTGCAGCTAAAAGCCAACAGGAGGGAGAGGAAAAGAAGCCAGCATTCAGCTGCTGCAGAGAGAGCTATACAGGGGATCGGTTCCAGTAATTACCCCCCCTGCCTTACCAATCACCCCCCTGCCCAGATCCAATTCACCATGCTGACCTGGGCCCCCCTGCTGACCTGGGCCCCGTACAGGAGGACTGGTGGTACCCCCATATCCACAGTGTTGTGTGGTGGTGCGGGCTTTATAGGGTTTAAACATGTAGTAAGGAGGCAGCATATTGCCTCCCACCCACCTGTCAACCCCCTTCTGAAAAACCTGAATCACTTTTCAGAGGGCCAGCAAGGTCTGCTAACAGTGTAAATGAACCTTTAGGATGCAACACAAAACACAATTACATCTCTCTCTCTCTCCCCCCTCCCCCCTCTCTTTCTCTCTCCCCCTCCCCCCTCTCTCTTTCCTCTCTCTCCTCCTTCTCTCCCCCCCCCCCCCCTCCGCTCTCCTCTCTCTTTCTCCTCTCTCCCCCTCCCCCTCTCTCTCTCCCCCCTCTTCCCCCCCCCTCACTCCTCTATCTCCCCCCTCCTCTCCCTCCCTCTCTCTCCCCCCTCTCTCTCCCCCGTCGCCCCCCCTCTCTCTGCCTCTTTCCCCCCCTCTCCCCCCTCCCCCTCTCTCTCCCCCTCTCTCTCTCTCCCTCTCTCTCTCCCCCTCCCCCTCTCTCTCCCTCCCCCCTCTCTCTCCCCCTCTCTCTCTCCCTCTCTCTCCCCCTCCCCCTCTCTCTCCCTCCCCCCTCTCTCTCCCTCTCCCCCCCCCCTCTCTCTCTCTCCCTCTCTTTCTCCCCCCCCTCTCTCTCCCTCTCTCTCCCCCCCCTCTCTCTCCCTCTCTCTCCCCCGTCGCCCCCCCCCCCCCTCTCTCTGCCTCTTTCCCCCTCTCTTCTAGCACAGAGCCCCAAATTCCCACTGAGCCCAAGGCACCTGACCCTCCTGCCCACCCCTTGTCCTGTTCTGACCCTGCTGTGCAGTTCTTGGGCGTGTTCACAAATGTCTGACACAGATCAGCCCCCTGCTGCGTTGTCTCACCTTACTACAAAGTTACAATGTTGCAGTCTGATCACCCGGGGGAGGGGGGGGGCTGCGGAAATGCTTCCTCCTGCCTGCAAGATCCCGGAGAATGCTGAGCAGCCCAAAATTTTACAGAGGTCGCAGTATTCCCCAAGACAATACCATTATCTGCTTTTGTCTCCAGAAGGATGGCTCCATCTTTATTCCCTCATCATCTATGGTCTACTTTCTGGCAGGGGCGGACTGACTATTCAGGTACTCGGGCACTGCCCGAGGGCCCGGGGTCAGTAGGGGGCCCCAAGAATGTGAGTGAGGACACAGGGGCCCCATGATCCCCTATTGCCCAAGGGCCCCATGAGTTGTCAGCCCACCCCTGCTTCCTGGATTGAGAAACTGGCTCAGAGATGACATAGTCATATATATACTGTGACCTGTGCATTTCTTGTGTTCAAAAATGCATGACACAGATCAGCCTCTGCTGCACCTTCTCTCCTTTTGACTTACTGCAAAATTACAATGTACAGTCTGATCACTGAGGGAGGGGAGAATGAGGAAAATGAGAAATAACATGGCTGCTGTATGTTGTGATATGCTTCAGTGCAGCAGGAATTTACAAATAAAAATGAATGGGCTGCTCTATACATGACGTGCAAGAAGGCTCCTAGAAGGCACATGTGCACCCATGCACGCGTCACGCGTCTGCAAAGTTACAATGTACAGTCTGATCACTGGGGGAGGGGAGACTGGAGAAATGCTTCCTTCTGCCTGCAGCAGACTGATGGCATCCTCTCAGCCTAGGCAAAGTCACTGCAATGGAGCTCAAGGATGGAATTTTTAATGATAAAAAGGGGAGCTTTTATTTTAAAGGAATAACATGGTTGCTGTACATTGTGAAGTGTCAGGAATTTGCAACTGTGTGCGTTTGTGTGTGCCAAACCGCATGATTCCCCAGCACCATGTGGTCTGACGCAGCATGATTGAAATGAATAGCCAGTCCTACACGTGACGTGCAAGAAGGCTCCTAGAAGGCACATGTGCACCCGTGCATGCGAAGATGTGAAGCAGGCAGGGGCGGAATGACAACTCATGGGGCCCCCGGGCAATAGAGGGTCATGGGGCCCCTGTGTCCTTGCCCAAACTCAAAAAAGCCTATGAAAAGGTACCAGGGGCATCTCATGGGGCCCCCTACTGACCCCATGCCCTCAGGCAGTGCCCGAGTTTCCAAATGGTCAGTCCACCCCTGGAAGCAGGGCTACAGAAAAGAAGAAGGAAGAAAAGGCAAGCACCGCAAAGCGCTATAACAAGGTGTTGCTGTACAGATTCCCCATATGGAAGAAAATATATATTGAAATATATTTTAAAAATATTCTTCCCAAATATACTGACATATATTTGAAATGCTACAATTTTGGCCATATTCAATATATTTCAAAATATATTTCAATAAATATATATATACATATACTACATGTTGAAATGTGTTTTTATTACAAAATATATGAAAAATATTTTTAAAAATTAATTTCAAATATTCTGTATGTCTTTAAAAATACATTTAATCTACATTTTTGGAATCCATTTACAAATATATGTAAAAAATATATGTTAAAATGACTTTTTTATATGTTAAAAAAAATCTGAAGAATACATTTAAAAAATATATATATTTTTAAAAATATGTTTCATAAATTTTGTAATATATAAAAAATGCATTTCAACATGTAGTATATGTATATTAATGTATTGAAATATATTCTGAAATATATTGAATACGGACAAAATTGTAGTATTTCAAATATATGTCAATATATTTGGGAAGAATATTTTTCAAAATATATTTCAAATATGTCTTTAACCTCCTAGCGGTCTGATTATGTCCATATTTCTGTGCTCAAAGCGGTACATTTTTTTGCATGGAAATATGTAGTTTTTTTATTGTAGGCTGTAATTTTTAGGAATAACTCACTGAAATCTGTCCGAACAAGAGTCTAGTAAACATCCCGGGTATGTTACAATTTGAAACACAAAATCATAAATTATAATTTAATAAATAATCATAAAAAATAATATAATAATAATAAATTTAATTCAATAATATAATCAAACCAAAAACACTGAAATGTGAAATAGAGCGCCAAGTTCGCACATCGCTGAGCAAAGTCGTAAAATCATTTTCAGTGTCTGATGAGGAATTTCCCCCACGAATCATTATCACTCAATTCTGCAAGTGGTTCTAATTTACTATCGCTGTTCTCTAGCCGGTCTAAAACCGCTTTTGACCTAAAGGGACGCTTTTTGGACGCCATGGACGTTTCCCAGTTTCCAGGCAGAAAGAACAGTAAAAATGCAGGCAGGGCGCCGGACAAAGCACTCGGGACAAAATGTATGTGAAATGGTTTGATACAGGAATGTTATACTATTTGATTTTAGTGAATTTAGTGAATGTCACTTTTTGACATTTTCAAATTTCCCGCCAGTTCCGTCCCCCGTACGTCCCGATGCTCGGCCGGAGGACATTACAGGGGACACTGCAGGAGGGACATCACGGGAGCGCAGGACAAGGTAAGAGAAGAACAGATCCTGGAGCGACGCTGCATGGTAAGCCCGAGTGTAGCTCGGGGTTACCGCTTCTGGTGCTGAAACTTTACCCCGAGCTACACTCGGGAATACCGCCAGGGGGGTTAAAAATACAAATCTACATTTTTGGAATGCATTTACAAGTATATGTAAAAATATAAGTTAAAATTACTTTTTTATGTTAAAAAAATCTGAATATATTTAAAAAAAAACACCAGGGGCGACTTGCCGTGCGATTTCCCATGCCATGTCACCGAAAAGAAGAAAACAACTTCCTGCACACAAAAGAGCGGATTGGATAATGCAGTGCTATGCAGCCCCTTGCAGGATGGGGTAGCCCAAGATCGCTTTGTAAAAGAAGAAAATGAAAAGGCACACCAGCCTTGCACATTGCCTCAATGCAAACTTTATTTATAAAAAGTGGCAGATATATACTCACAAAACGCCAAATAAACACAGGCATATCCTGTTCAACACGAGTCCATGGTCTAGAATACTGCGCTGCAAGTGGACGCTCGAAAATGGCTGACATGTTACAAGGGGGGAATCCCCTCTTCCTTAGAGCCTTTATTTGCCATGCCATGCGAGTTTCAAATCACACAGCAAGTTGCACCCTATTAAAGCGGTGATGATATCAGTGCCGCGTTCCACTAACAATATACACAAAAATCAGTGCAAAACAATAAACTGATTACTAATATATTTTCCATAAACGTGATATTATCAATCACGCTAGTAATTCATGCATATCTTCACTTATAAAGTCCTCACAAGGAATCCTCAAAACAATCTGTGATTCTATGATATATAAAAAAAATGAAAAATAAAAATTATAATAAAGAAATAAAATATATATATATATAAAAAATTATATATAAAAAATAGTCCACCAAATTTATAAATGTACAGTGGGGATCGAAAGTTTGGGCACCCCAGCTAAAAAATTTTATTAATGTGCATAAAGAAGCCAAGGAAAGATGGAAAAATCTCCAAAAGGCATCAAATTACAGATTAGACATTCTTATAATATGTCAACAAAAGTTAGATTTTATTTTCCATCATTTACACTTTCAAAATAACAGAGAAAACAAAAAAAATGGCGTCTGCAAAAGTTTGGGCACCCTGCAGAATTTATAGCATGCACTGCCCCCTTTGCAAAGCTGAGACCTGCCAGTGTCATGGATTGTTCTCAATCATTGTCTGGGAAGACCAGGTGATGTCAATCTCAAAGGTTTTAAATGCCCGGACTCATCTGACCTTGCCCCAACAATCAGCACCATGGGTTCTTCTAAGCAGTTGCCTAGAAAACTGAAACTGAAAAATAGTTGACGCTCACAAAGCTGGAGAAGGCTATAAGAAGATAGCAAAGCGTTTTCAGATGTCAATATCCTCTGTTCGGAATGTAATTAAGAAATGGCAGTCATCAGGAACAGTGGAAGTTAAAGCAAGATCTGGAAGACCAAGAAAAATATCAGACAGAACAGCTCGCAGGATTGTGAGAAAAACAATTCAAAACCCACGTTTGACTGCACGATCCCTCCAGAAAGATCTGGCAGACACTGGAGTTGTGGTACACTATTCCACTATAAAGAGATACTTGTACAAATATGGTCTTCATGGAAGAGTCATCAGAAGAAAACCTCTTCTATGTCCTCACCACAAAAGTCATCGTTTGAACTTTGCAAATGAACATATAGACAAGCCTGATGCATTTTGGAAACAAGTTCTGTGGACCGATGAGGTTAAAATTGAACTTTTTGGCCGAATGAGCAAAGGTACGTTTGGAGAAGAAGGGGCACAGAATTTAATGAAAAGAACCCCTGTCCAACTGTTAAGCATGGGGTTGGATCAATCATGCTTTGGGGTTGTGTTGCAGCCAGTGGCACAGGGAACATCTCACGAGTAGAAGAAAAAAATGGATTCTATAAAATTTAAGCAAATTTTGGATGGTAACTTGATGCCATCTGTGAAAAAGCTGAAGTTAAAGAGAGGATGGCTTCTACAAATGGATAATGATCCTAAACACACCTCGAAATCCACGGGGAATTACATCAAGAGGCGTAAACTGAAGGTTTTGCCATGGCCTTCACAATCTCCTGACCTCAACATAATTGAAAATCTATGGATAGACCTTAAAAGAGCAGTGTGTGACAGACAGCCCAGAAATCTCAAAGAACTGGAAGACTTTTGTAAGGAAGAATGGGCAAAGATACCTCAAACAAGAATTGAAAGACTCTTGGCTGGCTACAAAAAAGCGTTTACAAGCTGTGATACTTGCCAAAGGGGCAGTACAAGATATTAACTCTGCAGGGTGCCCAAACTTTTGCAGATGCCATTTTTTTGTTTTCTGTTATTTTGAAAGTGTAAATGATGGAAATAAAATCTAACTTTTGTTGACATATTATAAGAATGTCTAATCTGTAATTTGATGCCTTTTGGAGATTTTTTTATCTTTCCTTGGCCTCTTTATGCACATTAATACAAATTTTTTAGCTGGGGTGCCCAAACTTTCGATCCCCACTGTATACTGTGCTCCTTCACCAGTTGTGTTCTCACCTGATGTGTATGACCAAACCGTTAAGTCAGGTCATACAGGCTTGTGTCCCTTTAATTGGGCTTAGAATAGGACAAATGCATAAATTCCTGTATCCCAGATGGATGAATGGAGTTTTTTATTTTTTTTCCAGCAGGGGGTCTCGCCATTGTCAAGAGATCCTTTTCTTGAGTATGGATCAGGGGTGGACTGACAACTCATGGGGCCCCCGGGCAATAGGGGATCATGGGGCCCCTGTGTCCTTGCCCAAACTCAAAAAAAGCCTATGAAAAAGGTACCAGGGGCATCTCATGGGGCCCCCTACTGACCCCATGCACACAGGCAGTGCCCGAGTTTCCAAATGGTCAGTCCACCCCTGGTATGAATGGATGGATGGAGTTATCCCTCTTCCCTCTAGGGGATCTCTCGGCTCCTTTCAGACTTTTTCCTCCGTATATGTGTGTTCCTAAAAATCAAAGCAGCTTTCATCCTCTTCCTCCCCTAGCCTCTAATTTGCATCTTTCTTAGGGGGATCATTTGATAAAGACACATTTGTATGGGTATGTGTATAGTGTAGGTGACCCATTGATTCAATTTATATATGTATTAATTCAGTTACTAGATAGTATTTTCACTTTTTATTTTAATTGATCAGATAATTTAAATACACCATAGTAGCTCACAAGAATCACACTAATAAGGTCATGTCAGTGTGATTCGGACTTGGTCGGAGTCGCATCGATTTCTAAAGTAGTTGCATGCTCTCCTTCCGGCGCGACTTGCATAGACATCTGTGTTTTGCAAGCCACAGATGTTTTGCAAGTCGCACCTCGAGTGGGAATGACATCCGACTTTGAAATCGGGCAAATTCACTGGAAGTCGCACGATTTCAAAGTGGGATCAGCGTGACTGGGAACTTATAAGATGACGCCTTCCATTTCCTGAACGGTCCAGGACAGCGCACCTCAATGTGTAGACGAGCAAAGCATCTCTTAGATTGTAAGCTCCAAAAATCAGGCCCTCCTAATCCTCTTGTATTGAACTGTATTGTTGCTGTATTGTCTCCAGGGGCGGACTGACAACTCATGGGGCCCCCGGGCAATAGGGGATCATGGGTCCCCTGTGTCCTTGCCCAAACTCAAAAAAGCCTATGAAAAAGGTACCAGGGGCATCTCATGGGGCCCCCTACTGACCCCGGACCCTCGGGCAGTGCTCGAGTTTCCAAATGGTCAGTCCGCCCGATTGTCTCCCTTTATATTGTAAAGTGCTGAGCAAACTGTTGGCGCGATATAAATCCTGTATAATAATAATATAAATCCTGTATAATAATAATATATAAATCCTGTATAATAATAATATAAATCCTGTATAATAATAATAATATATAAATCCTGTATAATAATAATATATATAAATCCTGTATAATAATAATAATATATAAATCCTGTATAATAATAATATAAATCCTGTATTATAATAATAATCGCAGCTCCTGCCCAATACTTGTTATCCCCGGACTGTTGTTTTGTATCGGATGAGCAATTCCTGCTTTTACGTGGAGAGATTCATTAGCAATGTCCATGTCACGGAGATCTCTTTGTGGAGCGCAGATCCAGAGTGACATCCTGACAGAGGTGACAATTCCAGTCGTGTCTCAGGGAACGCTCAGGGATTAGTCATGTTTACGGCTCTCCGTGTCATCCCGTTGCTGCAGGAAAACATCGGCCTCCATATGTCGGGGTTTAAACCTCCGGAGATCTGGATTCATTTGTGTCTGGATGGATTCCGATCAGAAGGCTTTTGCTGTTTTTAGCTGCAATATGGCAAAAGAAAAAAAAAAGTGCACATCTGACCATCACACCTACACCGTGTTCCAAATTATTATGCAAATGATATTTTTCTCATCTCCTCAATAATTGATGTAAATAACAGTCGGCATAATTCTCATGTTACAACTAATTAAGAGTACAATTCACATTTTATTGAACAAACCTCCCAATGATAACAGGATTTTTGTTCCAAATTATTCCGCACAGGAAGTTATGTCAGAATAGCCTCCCAGAGCTGCAGTTTGGATGTAAACTGCCTCCCACCCTCATAGATCTTTTGCTTGAGGATGCTCCAAGATTCTCAATAAGGATTGAGGTCAGGGAGGATGGAGGCCACACCATGACTTTCTGTCCTTTTATTCCCCATAGCAGCCATTGATGCAGAGGTATTCTTTGTAGCCATAAGATGGTGCATTGTCATGCATGAAGATGATTTTATTACGGAAAGCATAGTTTTTCCTTCTGTACCAGGGAAGAAAGTGGTCAGTCATAAACTCCACATACTTTGCAGAGGTCATCTTTACACCTTCGGGGGCTCTAAAGGGGATCCCGACCAGCTCTGTTCCCATGATTCCGGCCCAAACCATGACTCCACCACCGCCTTGCTGACGTCGCAGCCTTGTTGGAACAGGGTGGCCGTCCACCAACCATCCACTACTCCATCCATCTGGACCATCCAGGGTTGCACAGCACTCATCAGTGAACAGGACTGTTTGAAAATTAGTCTCATGTATTTTTCTGCC